GATGGAAAATTACGAAGGCAGGGAACACGGAGAGAGACGTCGACCGAGAGACAGCGTCCCCTCCCGTCTCGCGCAACGGAGAGCGGCCACCAGGTGGCGTGCCCACCACTCACGGTGCTTAGGAATGATCACTTCGCTCATCTTCGGCTCGGGCGCCGGCTCCTCCATGTCCTTCGTGAGATCCTCCTCCTCTTCCTCCTCCTTCGGCGCCTCGCGCCTCCTCACTGCGCAGCCGCGGGAGCTGCGAAAATACGATCGATGAAGCCATTCAGAGAGGAAGCCGGAAAAACGCGCGAGAGACGAGCCGGGAAGGAATCGTGAGATTTGAGCGTCCGAGGAGGAGGAAGAGGAGGGGGAAGGGGAGAGAGAGGTTGGCGTGGGAATCGTGTATTGGAGAGGAAAGGAAAAAAGTGAGCAAGCGTGACGTGCCGGGAAAGAGTCGCGAGATGCCGGGAAAGATCCCCGGCGATCGGTCAAAAGGGGAAAAGGGGAGAAGCCTGCAGGGGAACCGTGTCATCGAGAGGAAGGAGAGCGAGGAGAAGAAGAGGAGATCGAGCGTTCACCTCTCTCGCTTCGAAAGAAGCGCAAAATGTCAGGAATGATCCCCACCGATAACCTTCGAGAAGAAAGAGGAGGGGGAGGAAGTCTGGAGCACGGCAGCAGGGAAGGGGAGGGTTTTAACATCCGAGGAGGAGGAAGATCAAGGGGAAGGAGAGGGAGAGGTTGGCGTGGGAATCGTGTATTGGCGAGGACAGGAAAAAAGTGGGCAAGCGTTCACCTATCTCGTTTCGAAAGAGAGCAAAATGCCGGGAAGGATCCTAGAAGAACGAGATTCAGCAACGGGAGAAGTCCGGCAAAGAAGTTAGAAGGAGGACCGGTCAGAGGGGGGGAGGGGAGAGGGGAAGAAGTCCATGCTGGGGCGTGGCAGTGGGGAAGGGGAGGAGACAGCAACAGCGCTCACCTCTTTCGTTTCGGCTTCCTCTCGGTCGGCGACGGCGACCGCTTCCGCCGCGACTTGCTCAGCTTCCTCTTTCGTTCCGCCTCCGTCACGTTGATGATCTGAAAGAAGAAGAGAGGAACTCTTTACGAGGGGAATCCGAAAGGAAGGGAGTTAAGTTGATATAGAAAGAGAGAGAAGAGAGAGAGAGAGAGAGAGAGAGAGAGAGAGAGAGAGAGAGAGAGAGAGAGAGAGAGAGAGAGAGAGAGAGAGAGAGAGAGAAGAGAGAGAAGAGAGAGAGAGAGAGAGAGAGAGAGAGAGAGAGAGAGAGAGAGAGAGAGAGAGAAGAGAGAGAAGAGAGAGAGAGAGAGAGAGAGAGAGAGAGAAGAGAAAGAGAGAGAGCGAGAAAGAGATAGAGACAGTGAGAGAGAGAGGGAGAGAGAGAGGGGCAAAAAGGAAGAGGGAAAGAGAGGCGATAGAGAAGATCCAGTGAATTTTCGACTATCACTATCAGTTGGCATACTGTTACAGCAACATCGTTTCCACGATCGTTCTCGACGCACTTGTTTCGGATTCTTGATTAATTCTATTGGATTTCTTGATTACGGTAATTACATATTAATTTCTGGACAATCGCGAAACTAAGAGATGAGTGAGAATAAAACATGTAAAGTACGAAAGTACGAGTGTGAAAACTAAAACGTCTGCATCCGTCTCTCGGAATAGGCCAAAACAAATATATGTGGGTTACCGTTACATGCTGGAAAAAAATAGGGTAGGTAGGTAGGGAAAACATTTTATTATATTGAAATATTTATTTACGAACATGTCCGAAGGATGTGCGTTGTGCCTTTTGAAGGCAGAACTGTCCAATTCATTTTTATTTTTTTTTATTTTTTTTGACTTTAAAGAAAATTGACAATAAAAGTTTAGGGTCCGCTAGAATAAATAGGGTCGGTCCAGGAAACCGTAACCACACCTATATTTGTTTTGGCCTAAGGTAGGAAAACTCACATCTAACTGCCTGTGAGCTTTGTCCGCAGTCCTTTCTTCCTTCTCGGTCACTCTGTAAATAAATCGAAAACAGGAGATAACAAAACTTCCCCACCAACTTCTGGCGAGAGAGTACAATTTTCACACATAACGTATATTATTCATTACAAGGGTGGCGAAATTAACGGGAGTCCGGAGTCAAATACTCCCTGATTTACTGTCGGACTCCCTGATTTGATATTATGCAGGAGTCCGAGTGACTCCTGAAAATTCTTCCATTCAAACTAGTTTGTTCCAGAGGGCACGCCTCGCGGAATTACTGTTTTTTTCAGCTAATGTCCAAAGAAAATTTCCAGACATGCAACTGCATGAATTCTTCAAATAAGCACATGTAACGCGTTTATTGTTAATATCTTTAATTTGAACTTCAGACTGGCGGACTTCGTTATTTTGCGCGGACGTCCCCTCATTTTGAGGGTAAGGGAGCCGTGTAGTACTCCGCGTGTTCAAAAAGTTCATTCTACGCACTGCATTATTATCATTAATATTAATTAATAATAATATTATTATACATGTGTTATAATACATTATCGTTCTAACCGTTGATGATTATTATAGTTCTTTCGCAGGTATTGGCATATGTATAGTGTTTCTATCAGGCAGTAATGTACATTTTAGTTCTTTGCCAGGTGTTGTGCATGTTTATAATTCCTAACCAGGTGTCAGCTAATACCACATTGTTCTCACCAAATAGTTCTCATCCAGGTTTTATAGTATATTCCGATTAAAGGGAGGAGTTTTACTCTATGTTCTAGGTTATTTTTTCCAGATAATTTAAGTAGAATTACCTAGCATAAAAAATGTCATGTTGCTAACACCATTAGAAATATATTTTTTTTTAATGTTTTTTAAAACTAACGACTAACAGTTTGATTACAACGACGGTGCGCCTATCAAAGCGCACAGAGTCTGATAATTGCGGCAAAACCACTTTCCAGCCAATGGCTAGCAGCCGAGGTGTTTCTGTATGTTATTCAATTTAAAAAGCAAAGGATTGTAATATCTTATAAACGACATATAGTTTTCAGTTATAATATGGATAAATTTGCCCTAAAATGAATATCGTACGGTTAAATAGCATTTAGGTATAAATATGATTGCACTTTTGTAATTAGCCCTCGGTCTGTAACTTGCAAAATAAATGGTCAAATACGCAACTTTTTCGGGGTGGCAGCACGGTCATGGCGCCGTTCAAATTTAGTAGCGTTGATGTGTAATTAATTATAACAATTAAATTAGGTATCTGGTAACAAATACGTGTGGGTATAGACGATTTGTTATACAGTAAGTACAGTTGTATGCAGTAAAATCCTAGCGGCTAAGTCCCTTTTAGTTCCTGTCCGGGTATCATGCATGTTAGAGTTCCTACCCAGGTGTCCTGATACTATAGTGTTCCCCCAGGTGTGATGCATCCAATAGTTCTCATCCAGGTTTTAAGTATAGTACAGATCTAACCCAGATATTGTATATTTTATAGTTTCTGTAGAGCTGTCACATATAGTAACAGTTTCTCACCCAGGTATTATGTACATCAAAGTTTCTCACCCAGGCCATCCTTATAAAATTCTATGTTTGCTGTCCCCGGACCCATGATTTTTTTAGTGTGTAGGTCTTCTTCTTTTTTGTGTGAGGCATAATAGTTATTTTAAGTCTGTCCTCATGTTTGCCACACATGCTTTGTGTTTCAGTCTTAACTATGAGGAATGTAAAAAAAAATGGAACCCAAAATGTCAAAAAAAAATTGTGGGTCGCGGCTATTTTCGTGGATCGGTCGGAGAACAGCAAACACATAATTTTTTAAGGATAGCCCCAGGTGTGCATGTATATTACGGTCTCTCACCCAGGTGTCGTGAACCTTGTAGTCCTCCTCGTTCATCCACTCGTTGTACTCATCCGTGTCGAGGATCCAGCGAGCGTTGACCTCGTACGGCAACTTCTGAGCCTCGTCCACGGGCGACGCGGGCTCCTGCTCCACCTCCACGCCCGTCATCCACGTATCGTAGCTGCGGAGGGGTGGAATAGATCAGTAATAACACACACAAGCACGCACGCATGCACGCACATGCACGCATGCATGCACAGAGATGCGGACGAAGCGGGCTCCTTGTCCACCTGGTCCTGGTCATAGCTGTGGAGGGGTAGAATAGATCAGTAATAACACACACATGCATGCATGGGCTCACACACGGACGCACACGCACGCATGCACAGAGATACGGACGAAGCGGGCTCCTGGTCCACCTGGTCCTGGTCGTAGCTGTGGAGGGGTGCAATAGATCAGTGAGATGCGACTACTGGGCATCTCTGCATGCATACACACATGCTTGCGCGTACACACGGACACACACGCGCATGCACAGAGATACAGACATCCACGTGTTGTAGGTGTAGAGGAGCAGGGTTACATAGATCAACGAATCGATCAATGGCGACACATGTTATTGCTGCAGAAGGGCAGTGCCGCGCACATAGATCAGTAAAACGCGACAATTTGACAACTCTGTATGCACACGCACACACATGCATGCGCAAGCACACGCACACACACGCACGCACGCACGCACACACACGCATGCGCAAGCACACACTCATTCATGCACGGACACACACGCACGCACGCACGCACACACACGCATGCGCAAGCACACACTCATTCATGCACGGACACACACGCATGCGCAAGCACACGCACACACACGCATGCGCAAGCACACGCACAGTCGCACACACACGCATGCGCAAGCACACACTGATTCATGCACTCACGCACGCACGCACGCACGCACGCACGCACGCACGCACACACACACACACACGCATGCGCAAGCACACACTGATTCATGCACGCACACACGCATCCAGGCACGCAGGCACGCACACACACACACACACATATACACACATGCACGCAAATGCACACGGAGCAACTACCTGTCAGGCGTGAACCACCAGTGAAGCAGGATGGCCGAATCTCTCTTGATAATTGGTCTGATCCATTCTTCTGCAATGGCAACATGTAAAAAAATTCTATAACTGCACGGAGCGCTCTTTAAAACCGTAGCGACGAAGAATTATTTGTGGCCATAAAAAATAAACTTCCCGTGAACGTGCGTAGACTTCCCCTCCATCCCCAACCCCACCCCCACTCACTCACCCTCATCACTCCACGATCCACCCCTCCCACCCCACTGTTCCCATCACCACACCCCCACCTCCTTGGTGATTCAAGCTCTTTCTTATCACCTTGGAGTGTGGAGCTGCTGCGGCGTGTATGATGTTGAGGTCAAGCCTCGTCGAGGCTACCCTAACAACGTATCAGCAACCTCCCGCCTCCACCCCAGCCTTAATGCCAACCACACACCCCCTCTATCCAGCCTTCCACCGCCGTCCCGCCGCCCCTCACCTTTGTGGCGGCGGTCGTTCAAGATGCGGGTAGATTGAGTGCGTTGCTCGTCCGACTACCACTACACACACCGCTCCCCAACCACTCCCCCACCGTCCCACCTGCACCTCTACACTCACCTACCCACCATTCACCTCCCCCCTACACCTCCCCTCACACACCCACCCCCACCTCCCAACTCACCTTCATTACACCCCACCCCCAACCACTTCCCCTCACCTCCAGCTTCACCTCACACCGCTCTACCCACCTAGGCCACAACCACACCCCCTCACCAGCTTCCACCCTCCACCCTCACGACCCCTTCACCTTTCATGGCTTTTTTTTGGCTCATGTTGTCACTGGCGTTTGCGCGCTAGATGATTGGCTGTCGCTTCGTCGCGGGCGTGCTCGGTCGAACAACGACGCCCTTTGTGTCTCTGCGACGACGTCGCGCAGGCTGTCATTTTGGTGAACCGACCTTAGCGCGCTCTTTTGCGTCACGTCCGTTCCGCAGTACACCTTCTTCATCGGGAAGCTCAGCTCCGCGCCGGCACCAGCGCGCGCTCGACGTGCACGAAATATCTCGACGCTTCGCGCTCGACGTGCGCACGCCGACGGTGAAGCGATAGCCGCTGGTGTGGAGAAAGGGCTTTAGGGCGATGCAAACGTTCCTTGTCGCATGCTGTGCGGAGATGTTTTGTGTTCGGGTGAGGGCGCAGGCCTTGAGGATCGTCTGTTCTCCGGATTCTCTTTCGCTGATTTTACGTTGTACTTTCTTTTTACGCGTCTTTCCCTTTTCTTTTATTCTTTTACTCTTTTTACTTGTTGTTGTCAGACTGCAGTTTAGGGGGTCGATATAATTGATGGCCCACAAACGTGTCTTCGTCACATTACGGCTGATCGATGTTACCATTCTATTAAATTTACATTTATCTACACTGCGAATGTGTCATCGCTTTATCATATTCCTTTATTTTGCTTTGTTTATCTATCGAGCGTTAAAGTGCTCTCATCGATCAACCTTACCTCCCCGACGAAGTATTTCTAAACCTATTCCTATTATCCACCCTCCCATGCTGATTGTCCTTTGATCGCGTTTTTCAGCTATGCCTCTGCCTGCTCACTCTGGCCCGTCATTCGTTAAGTTGTCTTTTGAGTGGGCAAGTCTACCATCCTTTGCTGGTTGCTGAGTATTTGTTCGTAGGTTGACCTGGTGTGCGAGTATGTGTACATTAGTGCCCACCTGGCGTTTTGAAGTCGAGGAAGAAACTTCCTTGCGGGACAGTCGGTGTCAGAGCTCGACTTCTTTAACCTGCTTCGATTAGATCAGAGATATGATGGTGAATGCAGATCACGATATAAACAACAGAACAAACGTAAATAAAGAACACCTTCCAAAGTTTTCAATAATTCTATTTGAACGTTTCTGTATTAGAGTAACAGGAAATTTAGCAGACCTATGTGACTCCCTATGTATCGTTGCAGTATGAGCATCAGTAAGTCTATCTAGCACAGCAGCAGTAATACATCATATATGATATTGATGCTACCTTATAAGAGTTATATCTTATTAGAAAACATATGTATCCACCGATTGGAGCAACTATATTAAGCTTTGTTTTTTTAATTGTCCACACCACAAACCACTTTCAGTTCTTCTCTAGACTAAACATTGCTCGAGCCTGTCTGTTAATAGTCGTGTTATAAGGTATTTCTTCTGGTTAACAGAGTTTGCTTTATACATGCTCACTTGTTTCCAAATGCCATCCTTCTTTTAAATCTTGAATAAGCTGTAGAGACAAGACATATCTCTGAGTCCCTTTACTTTGTCTCTGGCTGGATCAAAACTTGTCACATACCTGGAATGCACACATGAATAATAACAATATTAATAATGCCAGCCATGTACCACAGGTTTTGCTCATTTAGTTGTTAAGATGTCATAGCTTTGGATTATTTTTACCAATCTTATTGCTATGGTTCCTGGGCCATGCGAAGATTGATATTTTATGAATAGAACAAAATCAGAATAGGAACTAGATCATCTCGGATGCAGCACAGACTCATCTCCAATTTGGCTTTCGTTCACGTCTTCTGAATTTTTCCCAATGTGATAGATTTTATTAATCTAATGTAATGTTAATTCAAGTGTGTCCGAAAAGATTAAATTAATTAAGTTAACTTAATTTAAATACATTGAATGTTATTCCGCGATTAGTGCGAGGCGTGCGGTGGGTGGTGAGACTTCGTGCGTTGCCCTTAGCCTTTGTGGTGTTGCGTGTTTGTAAGTCTACAGCAGTAGTATAGTAGTTAAGTCAATAATGTATCTAGTCGTGAATACAGGTGCAAGTTTACTCTGCCGTGTCAACCACACTCAGTTGACAGTGACACTGTACCATGTCATGCAGAATTACAATGGGCGCCGATCGGTTGAAGTGCACAATATTTTGACGTTTCACAAGCGATGTTTTTGAAAACAGATGCGTGTTGTAGGTATTATATGAAACTATTGCATTACTTCATCTTCAGTCACTTATGCGGACAGCATCCCCAATCATAACACGCATAAACCACTATGCATCTGTGGAAGTCTTCAATATAAATTATAATAATGTAAATTAAAGTCACGAAACTGTACCAAATCTTAATGTTTTTCTCCCTGTCTTATTTTCGTCCCGCTATTAATCACCTGTTAAATGGCGGTCAAATTGGCTCATCGGTCAACACACAAGTACACCGCACGCCCGCCCTGTGCCGTGCATCAATACAACATGTAATAAGAGAGCAGGTAGGGAAAGCGTTTATCGAAAAATTTGTCGACGCCTCGCTTCATTCTCACACCTGATTCTTAACTTAGGTGAACGTAAAACATTACTTTCCTATTCTTTATCTATGATCTATGGTGTACTATTAAATTGTTCCACTTTTTCGAATTCATAACTCTCGGCCTTGTTTTCTATACCTTACTGCCCGCCAGAGATATCTCGGTTTGAATTTATCCGTGCTATGAAAATGTTCTCTCCTTTGTTTGAAAATTTAAATTTTCCTTGAGGGTATGACGATGATGTATTTGTTTGTATACTACTGAGTAATGGCCGCAGTTGTCGATCCCGGCATGAGCTGCTGTTTCCGCGCTCTTCGCGAGCTCCGTTTCGAGGCCCGCCAGCCAAGCACAATGACGTCACACACACACACGGACTAACAGTTGATCGATCGAATCATATGCGCCGTTTAAAGATTTTTTCGGATGATACGTCCTCTTTACATTTTGCACGCGCTAGAGAACATTTCCTGCAGCGAGGTTTCTACGCAGATATCTCTGCTTTGGCGAGTACAGCTAAAGACACAAAGGCCAGAGTTATAATTCGAACAAGTGAAAACATTTATGTACACATATATAATACCGAAGCATGAGCATTTGGATGTGTTTTCGTTCTGTATCTGCTCGAAATGGAAGCGAGTGTTTAAACGAATTTTCCATCGCGCTTTCTCTACCTTGCTCTCTTATTCATTGTTGTTTGTGCACGCATAGCACAGGGCGTGCGTGCGGTTTTGTACTTGGTGTTTGCAGATGTGAGCATTACCGCATTTACAGATCGTGGATTATAGGCGAAACTAGAGTAGAGAAACATAAGCACTTTGTTACATTTCTGTGTTTATTTACCTCTTTTTTTTTATTGAGACGTTCCAAGTGCCTGTGCTGAAAACAGACTCAATCAATGACAGCGCAGGTAACAAAGAGTGAAAGACCGGTAACGGGACATAACAATAAGGAAATTTCTGATTTTACACTAAGAAACTACTTTTATTTTGCCCTAATCGGAAAGACAACCTTCTTATAGTTCCTCTGCAGCCACGATCGTATTGCATCAAAATGTGACACCGTTTCAGGCGACTCAAAGAACTTTATGTTTGGAGTACCGTCTTTCTTTCTAATGATCACCATGTTTGTGATACCGATTTTCTCGCGAGACGCGAGATTTGTTTCATTGGTTCCGCGTTCGTATCATATCATCCAATGAGACCTCGCCAGACTGTTTAGTGCGGCTCTGTGTTTCCACGTCGAATTTCATCAACAAAAATGTTACTGTGAATTTTAGTTAGGTACTGATTTTCGTCCAAAATATCTAATTAACTCCTAAGGATCACACGTGACACTAGCAGAATGGACAGGGAACTCGCGTTTCTAGTAGGTCACATTCAAATCAACGCGATCCAGGCTTTTGTAAGCGGTGTAAACTTTTTGTCATTTAGCCGGCTGACGTGTCCGATTTCATTGTGGTTGTTGACAATGTGAATGTGGTACATCATGATCATACTACTACTACTACTACTACTAGTACTACCCCACTAGGCCCTACATGTACTCGTATAAACAGTGACTACACGTTATCTTGCAAACAGTGTTAGCTGTTAGGTATTAATCCATACATTGACTGATTGCCTCAGATGGCCTTACGATTTATTCTTGTACTGACCTGCTCGTATAGCCTATAGGTGTTTGGTTGTAGAGGTGTTTCTGTTTGAACTTTGAAGAGACATAGGCCTACTTGTTTGGTTAGTGAATGCGTACAGAAATGCAAATAATGAAATTTATATAAAAATGATTGCTACGAGAGATTTTTACTTGAATCAAGCGCATACCTTCATGTAATTTGTGGTTGTAATATTCGTTTGTCATTATTTGTAGGAGCTTAATCACATAAATTCCCATTATTTTTCAGGATCCTACGCTGTACACAGTGAAGGCTATTATGATCTTAGACAATGATGGAAACAGATTATTAGCAAAGGTGATAGATCTTATTTAGTTATATGAACATTTTATCTATTTAATTTGCTCATCAAACCTGGTTTTTAGTGTATCATTACCTGCGATTGTACACACGATTGTACACGATTTTACACACGATCATTACACACGATTGTATTATTATAATCGATAAGTATTAGTCATAACAGTGTTTATATTTCATTAAATATCTTTATAATATTTAACACGTCAAGTAAAATAAATTTGTCATTCTTTGAATATCTGTACTAAATTAAATCAATCCGTATTAAAATTACAGTAGAATATTGAATCGATTTTCTTCACTATGTATTCCTTGTGGTTGTCATTACTTCATCCGTTGTTCCAGTATTATGACAGTACGTTTCCTACCTTCAAAGAGCAGAAGACATTTGAGCAAAACCTCTTCAACAAAACACACCGTGCCAACGGTAAGGTGTATATAAACCCTAACGTCCATCTTAAATCTTACGTCCTATTTAATGCTTATATCAAATCCCTCTGTATAAAATAACCTTAACCTAACCCACCTCACTGATCAGATCATTCAAATTTATTTCAGATTTAATTTCTTTCGGGCCTCAACCTATCTATTTTACCCAAAGCTGTAATCTTGAATGATAAATCCATGGTGGTGCGAAGCGATGGTGCAGAGACAGTGAGAGAGAGAGGGAGAGAGAGAGGGGCAAAAAGGAAGAGGGAAAGAGAGCGATAGAGAAGATCCAGTGAATTTTCGACTATCACTATCAGTTGGCATACTGTTACAGCAACATCGTTTCCACGATCGTTCTCAACGCACTTTGTTCGGATTTCTTGATTAATTCTATTGGATTTCTTGATTACGGTAATTACAATTAATTTCTGGACAATCGCGAAACTAAGAGATGAGTGAGAATAAAACATGTAAAGTACGAAAGTACGAGTGTGAAAACTAAAACGTCTGCATCCGTCTCTCGGAATAAGGCCAAAACAAAATATATGTGTGGTTACCGTTACATGCTGGAAAAAAATAGGGTAGGTAGGTAGGGAAAACATTTTATTATATTGAAATATTTTATTTACGAACCATGTCCGAAGGATGTGCGTTGTGCCTTTTGAAGCAGGAACTGTCCAATTCATTTTTTATTTTTTTTATTTTTTTTGACTTTAAAGAAAATTGACAATAAAATGTTTAGGGTCGCTAGGAATAAATAGGGTCGGTCAGGAAACCGTAACCACACCTATATTTTGTTTTGGCCTAAGGTAGGAAAACTCACATCGACTGCCGTGAGCTTTGTCCGCATTCCTTTCTTCCTTCTCGGGTCACTCTGTAAACAAATCGAAAACAGGAGATAACAAAACTTCCCCACCAACTTCTGGCAAGAGAGTACATTTTCACACATAACGTATATTATTCATTACAGGGTGCGAAATTAACGGGAGTCCGGAGTCAAATACTCCCTGATTTACTGTCGGACTCCCTGATTTGATATATGCGGGAGTCCGAGTGACTCCCTGAAAATTCTTCCATTCTAACTAGTTTGTTCCAGAGCACGGCCTCGCGGAATTACTGTTTTTTTCAGCTAATGTCCAAAGAAAATTTCCAGACATGCAACTGCATGAATCTTCAAAATAAGCACATGTACGCGTTATTGTTAATATCTTTAATTTTGAACTTCAGACTGCGGACTTCGTTATTTTGCTGCGGACTCCCTCATTTTGAGGGTAGGGAGTCCGTTAGACTCCCGTGTTCAAAAGTTCATTTCTACCACTGCATTATTATCATTAATATTAATAATAATAATATTATTATACATGTGTTATATACATTATCGTTCCTAACCGTTGATGATTATTATAGTTCTTTCGCAGGTATTGCATATGTTATAGTTTCTATCAGGCAGTAATATACATTTTAGTTCTTTGCCAGGTGTTGTGCATGTTATAATTCCTAACCAGGTGTCACTAATACCACATTGCTCACCCAATAGTTCTCATCCAGGTTTTATGTATATTCCATTAAAGGGAGAGTTTACTCTAGGTTCTAGGGTTATTTTCAGATAATTTAGGTTATAATTACGCTACATAAAAAGTTTCATGGTTCAATCACCATTAGAAATATTTTTTTTTAATGTTTTAAAACTAACGACTACAGTTTGATTACAACGACGGTGGCGCCACTCAAAGCGCACGATCTGATAAATTGCGCAAAACCACTTTCCAGCCAAGGGCTACAGACCGAGGGTGTTTCTTATTTATTCATTTAAAAGCAAAAGGATTGTAATATCTTATAAACGACATATAGTTTCAGTTATAATATGGATAAATTTGCCCTAAAATGAATATCGTACGGTTAAATAGCATTTAGGTATAAATATGATTGCACTTTTGTAATTAGCCCTCGGTCTGTAACGTGCAAAATAAATTGTCAAATACGCAACTTTTTCGGGGTGGCAGCACGGTCGCGGGTGTCATGGCGCCGTTCAAATTTCGTAGCGTTGATGTGTAATGAGGTGATCATGCTGGGAGGTATCACGTCTGTTTATCGTAGTAACGTCGACATCTACTTCTACGTCGTCGGCAGTTCACACGAAAACGAGGTAAAGTCGACGACGTCACCCTCAAACATTGCGCGTATACCCTCATAGGGTCATAATAGCAGATCCCTAATATAAATAAATAGCGATTCTATGTCAGAATTTGTCAGAAATCACTGTCATGGTTATTGGATCTAGAGTGGTTAAAAACAGGTAGTTTTTATACACGCCTGATGAAATCATGTCTAAAATCTTGTAACTTCTTAAATGCGATCTTAACGTTCAAGTGTTTTTATTTACTCCCGATAAAAGTATAGGTCTGAAATGTAACTTCTTAATTAAATGAGGTCTTAACGTTTAAGTTATTAGAAGTTTAGAAGTTCCGATTTTCAAACGATAATCTTTTCTATTTGCGGTCATTTCGCCTTCGTGTTGTTGCATGGTAGAGACGATCGCTGAATCCTTCTGTTATCTTGCAGTTGATCCTGGTGAGCGTACTGAACTGTCTCTTCGACACGACCACGCAGCTGCTGCGCAAGAACGTAGAGAAGCGCACCCTGATGGAGAATCTCGACACTATGTACCTCGCCGTCGATGAGATCTGCGATGGAGGGTGAGGCATCAGTTACCGTGGTTACCGTAGCCGCTGCTGCCCTGTCTTTAGACACACGACCATGTTTGCGTCGTCGCTTGCGTCGCATGATGGCTGTCGGATGTTATTAGTTTTGTGTGAGACGTGTGTCATGAGTGCATTGTTATTTCATTTACGTTTATAATCGCCTGTAGATGGTACTACCAGAAAACAGCTGGGATATGTGACAGTGCAATTGATAACTTTTCTTGTATTAATGTTGTTGTTATTGTTGTTGTTATTGTATTAATATTGTTGTTTTTATTGTTGTTGTCATAATAATGTTGTTGTAATTGGTGTTGTCGTTGTATTAATATTGTTGTAACTGTTGTTGTCATAATTGGTGTTGTTGTTGTATTGATATCATCATGACTGACACATTGTTTGGCATCGTGCGCAGGATCGTCCTGGAGTCCGATTCGTCGACCATCGTCCAGCGTGTCGCTCAGCGGTCAGAGGAACTGCCACTTGGGGAGCAGACCGTCGCACAGGTACCTGTCGCATACGCGCGCGGCCACCGCTCGTCCATGCTGTGCGCGCACCTACCGCTAATTATATATTAATGCCTGTTGTTGGGAGCACTATGCTCTCATAGTGCCCCCAACAACAGGCATTAATGTTTTTAGTGCATCACATGACTTTGCAATCTACTCGGCAAATATGAAGTGAATAAGACAAAGTTTCTTAAACGAACAATTTCAATTTGTATTAAAACACAATGCGTTAAAATAACAATGCGTCGCTCAAGCAATAGTGCCCGCTCAGGCGGGGACTATTGTTTCATAGTACCTGCGACAGTATCCAATGTAATTTTCAATGATTTATCATGTGATGCACTAATTACCAATTAGTACTTGTGGTCGAACACGCTCTCAGCTCTGTCAGCACATGCCGCACGCGCGCACGGCCACGGTCACTCGTATACGCCGCGGCAAGATCGTGAGTTGCACTGCGTGCAGTTACCGCTACGGTCGAACCCGTGTTAGCTATCAGTTCTGTAGAACGGTACGGCCGCAGGAGTACGTCGCCGCACGCGTGCGGCTGCGGTCGCTCGTACACGCCGTGGCGAGATCGCGAGTCTGCGCCGCCTGCCAGTGAAAAAAATACACGGGGGCTCGGGGCGATTTAGCCCCCGAAATGCCAAAAAGAGCCCCCGTAAATTTGCATAGAGTTCAATGCAAACCAAATTTTAGAGTGCTATTTTCATGCACGCGAGCTTGAAAAGTAGCCCCCGAAAAATAAATTTTAATTTTTTCCCTGCCGCCTGCACTTACCGCTACGGTCGCACCCACGTTAGCTATCAGTTCTGTAGAATGGAATGGCTTATCCATGAAGAACAATTGCGGTATTTCCCTTGAAGTGACAGTTGTACAGTATATTTATTGGTCGCTCCTCCACTCTGTGGTGAGATCGTGCCACGCACGCGCGCCTACTGCTACGGTTTAACCCGCGTTAGCTCGGTACTGTAGAACGTAAGCTTCCATCCGTGAAGGACGCTTGTAGTATTTCCCTCAAGTGTACAGTATATTGAAAGAGAATCCGTGAAAGCACCTAGAGCTGTAGAACAAAGGCGGTATTTTCTTGATCCTCTTGAATGAAGCGCAGTGATGTATCAGGTCCATTATTTCTATTCAAGCAAGTCTTTCTTCGGGGACTGGGACCTTTCTTTCGGGGACCTCTTTCGAGTAGATCAAAATGTGAGTTTTTTTCTATTTTCAGGTTCTACAGTCGGCCAAGGACCAGCTGAAGTGGTCGTTACTAAAGTGATTCGCCGCCACGTTTAACAAATTCAAACGGAGAGGATGGACGGACGGACGGACGCACAGATGGATCACACTCGACTCCTGGGTTCTCTCCGTGTTCCATCTGCGACGTCCCACAATATCATGTCTACAGTGTGCTCCTGCTAACAAGCAAGGCGAGACCAACCCCGGGTCACAACGATCGAAGCTCAAGTTTACACGAGAGAGATTTTTATCGCTGGGGGGTGATCAGCGTTGATGCACCGCCAATACTCACCCCGCCTCACACCACTGTCGCCGCTTCTTCGTGCGTCTAGTTTACGCGTTTCTCGATAGCAGCAATAGTGGCGGTTCACATTGCAATGTAGTCGTGTGTGTGTCTGTGGGTGCGCGTGCGTGTGTGTCGGCTGTTAGGTCATTGAGGAGCTTATTCGTGAGTTGTTGCCAGTTAGCGATTTCTGTGTGCATGAGCATGAGATTGGACCAATATGTGGGAGTGCGTTGCCACGTACTGTCAAACCTCCGTTAGCGTGACACCTCTGTAGAATGGACACCTGTCTATAAAGGTCTGTAGAATGGACACCTGTATAGAACAGACACCTCTGTATATAAAGGTCACTTGTGCTAGTGGAAACCTCTGTAGAACAGACACCTCTATAGAACAGACACCTCTATAGAACAGCCACCTCTGTATATAAAGGTAACTTGTGCTAGTGGAAACCTCTGTAGAACAGTCGCCTGTCTATAAAGGACACTTGACGTTTCCTCTTGACTGGTACTTACACGGTGAAACCATCTTTATAGAACGGTAACCTTTCTATAAAGGACACTTGAGATTTCCCTGCAGTGACCCTACGTAGATCTCCCGTAGATTCTACCTGTAGTCGAGTTTTCATCCCAGCATCACACGTGTAGGAATCTAGGCATATCACAACTGAAGAAAGTGAGATACTCTTTGTCTGGGAATCTCACAAGATAGTCGCAGTATCCGTGGTGCGTAGTAAGTTAGTAACCAACTCGATTCGTATTTTACACAGATGTTTATATCTTTAATGATGAAAATAATGCCAAGACGTTGGAAGCGTAACCACACAGTAACAGATCCGTACTAACACAACCCGTGCGTTGTAGATTTCAGTTGATAACTTGATTTATTCGCGTAGTCGTCTGAGGAGAAGTTGATGCGTTTGTCGTCTTCACGCTTTTTACGAAATCGAATAAAAACTCGATAGCCGCTTTACTCGTCCCCTTCTGCTTTTCACTCGCGTTTTTTGGCTTCATTGTTCTTTCTGTCCGTCGCTGGAGTCTCCTTTCTCTTGCGCGAAATCTTGCGACACGAGAGGAAGGCTAGGAAGCCGGTTGCCGCGGCGATCGCGACAAACAGCGTCGCTACGTCGAGCATGAAGTACTGAAAGAAATTCAAATCCATTCCCCGCGGCCGCAGATGTGCCGCCCCCTGGTGGCGAGCGACGTACTCGATCCAGTAGACTGCAGCGTCGGCCGGGCTGATTGGTTGATCTTCGTGCAGGGCTTGCAGTCTGGTAGCATTTTGCTGATAACTGTTACAATAAACACAAAATATACATGAAATCTAGTCTGCAATGTGACATGATATCCAGGGCATACACAGGGTGTTATGTGTTCAATCGTATATAGCCATGTTATATGCTGTACGCCTGGGCATGGTGTACAAGGTGTACATGATATACAGGGTTAGGGTATTATATAGACAATCTTATTGTAATGATACTCTATTATATTACATGTCATATACACTAATATAATATAATATTATATATGTGTCACGTGCTATATTCAGCCTCAGAGTATATATATAGCACATACAAGTTATCAAGAGCTAATAATACCTATATAGTTATTATTAGCTATTGAAGTTGTACATAGTCCACGATTCCTTATTCGCGATGTCTTCAAGTTTCATACTTCATTTCACAACACTGCGGAAACGCAACCCCACCCCCCATCCTCACCTCTCGTCTGCCAGCATGCTTTCGATTTGTGCCACCAGGGTCTCCACCGTCAACTCGCTCCGATCCAACATGGTCGCCATGCCTCGCGTGACGAGCCTAAGCAGCGCCACCTGGTGGTTGCCGAAGAGAGGGATTCCGAGGACGGGTACGGCGTGGCAGACCGCCTCGTGTAGGCTCAGTCCCCCGCCGTGTGTGATGAAGAGACGTGTGCTAGCGTGTGCTGCGGGAGAGTCAGAGAGTGTGGGGGAGAAAGACCACGACACAGAAGATTAGTGAGGGTGGGGGTGAAAGAGAAACTCCCTCTCTCTCTCTCTCCATAACTTTCCCCACCCTTCTCTCAATCTCCACCACTCTCCCCCACCTTTTCCTCTCATTTAACTCCACTCTCTCTGTCTGTCTGTCTCTCTCTCTCTCTCTCTCTCTCTCTCTCTCTCTCTCTCTCTCTCTCTCTCT